GGACCCACTTGAAACTTGAGGCTAGTTCCATAAAACATGTAAAAAGGGGGAGGGGAGATTGGAGTTGTTCCTAAATGGAATTAATAAAATAATGTCAAACAATGATCATAGAAGTTTTTAGTTTATTTTTCACCAAATAAGTTTGTAAAGAAAGTTAATTGCATAATTTTACTGATCAGAACTGAAACTAAAGTACAAAGTAAGTATTAGTCAATGGAACAATAATGAGCAACTTTTTATACATCTTAATGCCATTGATTGTAAAATTTTAACTTGATCTGCAAACCATAAAGAACTTGGTTCCTAGTAGAAATTTAATTTATCCAGGTGCTAAATTACCATTCAATCTGAATTCAATCTACTATAATATCTGCATTAGTGATGATACATATATAAATACATCTCAAGGACAAAGATAAGAATTTCTCTGGTGTAGCCAGTTTTTACATAGGGTCTGTGTGAGTTATACATAGCAGCCAGTAGAGTTTGATCATAAGATTTAAGATTCTATACCTATCAATATAATGATTAAGGACATATTGCAAAAGATGAAAAAGTTGTTACAAAAGATTATTGTCTGCTCAGAAAGTTTGATGTCACTGTTAGACAGTGTTTCTTCCTGACTTTTTTTTTCTCCAGGGGGGGGGGGGGGGGGGGCGGCGGCGGACACTGGTAAAAGTATGTTTTCAGTGTGAGCAGAGATGCATGGAAGAAACTCTGCTGTTGGTCTACTTGTTGGCCTGATGCCACTGTATCTGCTAGCCAGATGTCATGGAGGTCGTATAACCTGTCAACCTGATATTCTGTCATGTTGCTGTATGTCTGACTGCGCTGTTTGTTAGTAGTGTAAATGATTTGGTTAACTTCCTTGTCAATTGTCAATTTAATATAATTTGAAAAGAATAGGGAAATTAACTGTGTGGCCTGAGCAAAACCATGCGGGTAAACAATACGACCATGGGTTTCTAAAGTTATAGCTTACTTCTCCTGTCATACATATTTACAAATAACACAAAAAGAAAGGGTCTGCAACCTTTTTTTTAAAGAGCCATTAGCATTTTTATTTCAATTTTATGGCATTTAATTAGGATTTGGTGAGTAAATGTAATTTTTTATTTAAAATAAATAACTTTATATATAAAATAATATTTATTTATATAGAATCATACACATTTTTTGCACAAAACATATTAAAGTAGTTTAGCTAGCTCTGTTCTGATAAGATTAGTAATTAAATAATATAACTATAAGACTTTCACAATCCATTTTAGAATCCATTTTTTGTCTTTCTTTACAGACATCACTGGCTCAAGAGATGTCTGCTATTAGCCAGGCAGGCCTCAAGCTCCATGTAACTGACTTGGATATTAATTTGATTAGTATCTGTCACTTCTGTCCACATCTGACTTACATTCCACCCTACTCGTACTCCACCATCCAGTACCCGGATCAACTGTAGGAAGCTAATAACTAATAAACCAAAGTGATCTACCCTAAACTTTCTCAAATATTCTTATATAAAACAACGGGATGGGAACTCGGGATATAGACATGATTTTTAATCTATTTTAAATACTTAAACTTTTTAAAATAGAATAAAATCTCGTAAAAAAAAGAATTGCACACCAAGTGAACGTCAAACAAAATGTGCATAATAGTTCGTAATATTATTAGTACTTTATAAATTTACATTCGTTTTTTGAGAAAACGGAAATAGCGTTAATTACTACTTCCGGTCAATGGAAATAACTCAAAATTTAAAAGAAGGCAGAGATTTAGATATTTTACTTATCATTTTTATCTATCTGAAATAGTACTCTTGTTATAGGCTTTTGAAAAAGTTCCACTTCCGGTTATCAGAAATCGCTCAAAAGTTGATACAGATATACAACTTTGATACAATACTTGTATATGAAATTTCATCAACCTAGCTGTAAATATACTCAAGTTATCGTGTTTACAGACACACACACAGACATACGGACAAGATTGCAAAACTAGATTTTTCCGACTCAGGGAGGTGTAAAACGTCAAGATCTGCAAAAATCTTAATTTTTTTTTTGCACAATTACAAGACTTTCTCTATACTTCGTATATACGAGAAAGTAAAAAACAAAGTCACTCAGGTCTAATTAATGCATACTGACAGATAGAGAAATGCATCCTGAATGAAATAACATTCCCTATTGAAAGTTATTTGAAAAAGTCGGCAGTGGCAAGCATGTTAATATTTATTTTTATGAGTTTTGAAAATGAAATAACGTGTGTATGAAACTCAAGAGAAGAGCCACATCTTGACATCAAAAGGGCTGCATGCGGCTCGATGCAAGCCGACCCCTGTAGTAAACTTTTCCACAAAAGAACCTTTTCATAATACAAATATAAAAATTAATAAATTATGGCCCACTATTGGATGACCCCTAGTTAAAGTTATGTGAAGAGAAAAGATTATAAAAGGATATTTAATAATAATGATTTGCTCTAGAATTAATTTTTTTTT